TACTGTCTCATTAGGTTTCTTCTTCATGCCTTTGGATACAGAAAATCTTTTTTGGTAGGCTCCAGTCCTTTTTTTTTTAATCAACGGTTGTTCGGCAATTAGCTGTGATTTTGGTATGCTCGTGAGAAGAGGTGAGCTTACGAGTCCTTCTACTCTGCCATCTTGTCTCCCAACTGACTTTTATTTTCTAAGTGAACAACCATGTGACCAGATCCTATTAAAAAAACATTTAGAAGCAATAAAGTGTAGATAAAGGAGAGGCAGGCGCATATGAGGAAACCAAAGGGATAGGGAATATAAGCAGTGATGACAAAATGAGACCCTGAACACTGGTCCACCAGCGCCCCCATCAGAACACTCCCACTCACCATCGCTGACACACTGATAAATGAGGACCACGTCCGCCACCTGCAGGGAGAGTTCATCTGGTTGCTTGGCAGTAAATGATCTAATGATTTCCACTTGGGTCAGTGCTAAGGGCAAAAGGGGACATAATGAACTTCCGGTAGCAGTGGAAAAACAAAACAGGTACAAATCAATATTCTGCATTCACTTAGTCTTTCTGTGCAATCAGAGCCAGCACAGATAGAAACAAGGTAGACTCCTAAAAAGCAGAAAATCTTTCCCAGGAATTCTCTTACTTGGCTAAGAGCTTTAGGATTTTTAGAAGCTCAGAATTGAGAGAGGCCTTTTACGATACATGAATCCCCTCAAAAATAGCCTTGATAAGAAGTCATTAGATACATCACACAATAGAGCAGAAAACAGTCACTGGGCATTGGGGAAACTGAGTCAAGCTAGATTAGGTATGTGCCAAGGCCATGAGGATAAAATCCAAAATCTATCCAGTGCTCCTGGCTCTCATCAGGGCGCTCCCCCAGCCCACCCAACAGCACATAAAAGCTGCCAGAGTTTAGAAATAAAAGGAGCTCCAAGCAAAAGGTGGTTAGAAAACATTTTAGTTTCCCCCAAATTCTCGATCATAACAAATCAGTTTTTACTTCAGTGACTTGCTACTGGCTGGCCTGAGTTTTTACTCGGCTTTTTTACTATGAAACTTGATTCCAGAGAACGTTCAAACCAGTCTCTTCAGCTCTGACTCTAAGCTTAAAGCTATGATTTTTGAGTGCTCCAGGAATCCACTTTTGCTGCCCTAATTCTTTGAATTTGACCTTCCAGCTGGAATCATGCAGAGCAGCATAACAAGATGCTCAGCATATGACACTAATCTTTACTGTACCAGTACCGGGTTCCCTAGAAAAATAAAATATATTTTTTAATATTAATTTAAAAAAAGTCAAAAGGAAGGGTAAAGTAATTTACCTTAAGGTTAAAAATCCATTTCAGCTTAGATTCACACTGTCAGTATGGAGAAGGTTTAAACATGCTACTATTGCCCATAACAGCTAGAAATGGAAGAGCTTTATAGTATAAGCAGGGCTTTCAATGTAAATTTAACTTCATCCTCACTATCATAACGCCGTGTTGTATTAATAATGTACCTAACTTGCAGATGATTTGAGAGGCTCAGAAAGGCTATGCAGTGCTCTGCCATGTTTACACAGCAAAGAACTGCACTTTGAATTCAGTCCCCTTGACTTCCAAAGCAGGGAGCATCCAGAGCTGAGGTGGGGCGGCAGGAAGGAAATCTTGGAGAAAACTTACAAAGCAGGTACTGTGGAGGTTAACCACTAATAACCCAGCGACCAGCAGGGGGCAGAGCCCTCCACGTTCCAGAGCAGACGGCTCTCCAGGTACTTACAGGTTCGGTCCGGAGGCTGCTTCCCGCTGCTGTGTCCCAGGGCAGTTATCCAGCGGGCTCGCTCGCTCCTAAACACAGAGGGCAGATCCGTTGAGAGATTCAGTGGTGCTTAGACACAGAATGAAGTATGTTCTAGAATGCAAAGGCATTCCCTGAAAACAGGGCAGACATGCTCTAGAGAGGTAAGTGGCTGGCCTTCAAAGCTAGGGTAAGAGTTATTTAAAAATGAAAAACAATTACTAAAATAAAAATGATCATCTGGGAAATCTCAAATAGGCCTCGAATGAGTCATTGTCAAAAGATTCTGAATGAATTTAGCTTGTTATTAAGTGGAATTTCTCATATAACAGTTTAATATTTAACAAATATCTGATTACACTAATACATTATAATCACAAAAAGATATTTCATACACTCACAATCTGATGTTTAACATTTCAAAAAAGTAAATTTCATTTAAAAAAATCCTAGTAAATCAGTCTCTCGCCACTCCCTCCCCTCTTTTCCTTCCCCCACACTCACAACCCATTTCCACATAAATGAGAAACCTGACATTATTTAAAGTTGTTCTGTTCCTCATACAACAAATGTTTCCAAGTATGAGCCTTAGTGAAATAGAAATTCTTTGTTCTCAAATAATTTAGTGATTACAGGAAAAAAAAATTTTTAAGATAAAAAACAACCAAAAGCTTTTAAACAATATTAAGCTACAATTACATGAAACAGAATAATTATTTAACTAAAGGATCAAAAGTTTCAGATGAGCAAGCATTACTCCATAATATAGTAACCAGGTTTTTGATTTGGAAAGTCAAGTATTAGCACTGTGATTAAATAAACCACACACACATACACACTTGAAAATCTTTTAAGAAGCATTTACATGGCAGATACAGCGCTTGACATCCATCATTTCCTGTAAGCTTCCCAAAAGCCTGTTTAAGGGATGAGAAGACTGCACAGAAGTTCAGAGGTAAGCAACCCAAACGAAAGGTCAGTTTCTACTATGCCACTCTACCTTCTTAAGAAGGGATGCCTTATAGAAATAAAAAATAAAAATTTTAAAAAAGAAATGAGACCTAATCAAACTTACAAACTTTTGCACAGCAAAGGAAACCAGAAAAAAAAAAAAGCCTATGGAATGGGAGAAAATATTTGCAAATGATGCAACTGACAAGGGCTTAATCTCCAAAATATACAAACAGCTCATGCAACTCAATATCAAAAAAGAAACAACCCAATCAAAAAATGGGCAGAAGATCTAAATAGACATTTCTCCAAAGAAGACATACAGATGGCCAACAGGCACAAAGAAAAGATACTCAACATCACTAATCATTAGAGAAATGCAAATCAAAACTACAATGAGGTATCACCTCACACTGGTCAGAATGGCCATCATTAAAAAGTCTACAAATAACAAATGCTGGAGAGGGTGTGGAGAAAAGGGAACCCTCCTACACTGTTGGTGGGAATATAACTTGGTGCAGCCACTATGGAAAACAGTATGGAGGTTTCTCAGAAAACTAAAAATAGAACTAACATATGATCCAGCAATCCCACTCCTGAGCATATACCCGGACAAAACTCAAATTCAAAAAGATACATGCACCCCAATATTCATTGCAGCACTATTTACAATAGCCAAGACACGAAAGCAACCTAAATGTCCATCGACAGAGGAATAAAGAGGATATGGTACATATATACAATGGAATATTACTCAGCCATAAAAAAGAATGAAATAATGCTATTTGCAGCAACATGGATGGACCCAGAGATTATCATACTAAGTGAAGTAAGTCAGAAAGAGAAAGACAAATACCATATGATATCACTTATATGTGGAATCTAAAATATGGCACAAATGAACCTATCTCTAAAACAAACAGACTCACAGATATAGAGATCAGACTTGTGGTTGTCGGGGGGAGGGGGGAAAGGGAGAGATGGATTGGGAATTTGGGGTTGGTAGATGCAAACTATTATATTTGGAATGGACAAACAACAGGTCCTACTGTATAGCACAGGGAACTATATCCAATCTCCTGGGATAAACCATAATGGAAAAGAATATTAATAAAAGAATGTAAACGTGTAAAACTGAGTCACTCTGTTATACAGCAGAGATTGGCACTACATTTTAAAATCAACTATACTTAAATTTTTTAAAAAGTAAAAAAAAAAAAAGTTGCCTTTATGCCTGGTACTTTAAACAAAAAAACTTGGAGAAAAAAAATTTTTTTTTCTCCCACAACGGCCTGCACCTAAAAGATGCTTCTCACCATCACTCTATCTTCACGCCGCAACGTGTATCCATCCTTCCATCCAGACAGAGCAGACTTCTTACAGTCTGGAACTCAACATGCTATGCCACACCTTTCCTATTTGTTCTTCTCACTCTCAAGTACGACCTTCCTTCCCCCTGTTTTTACCGAGCTGTGCCCACTCATCATCCCTATTTGATTGCTTTATTGAAGAACACATAAAACACTGCACTAATCTTAAGTGTATACAGATCTGTGTTTACTTAGGTACAACCACGTACACATGCCCACAGATCAAGACACAGCCATGCCAGGAGGTTCCTTTTTTGTCCCTTTCCAATCAGTAACCTCCTGCAAAGGTAACTGCTTTTCTGATTTCCATCACATAGACAAGTTTTGCCAATCTTGAACTTTATGAAAACGGAATCCTATAATATTGTCCACTTTGGTATCTGGCTTCTTTTGTTCAGCACATCTAACTCAATATTGAAAACACAAGCCTCACCTCCTCCAGGTGGCCGCCTCTGATGTGTGAGCCCACACTTCTGTCCCCATCCCATTCTTGAGAATCCTGTTCTCACGCCCCGCCTCTGCACAGCTCTGTCACACTGCCTGGCAGCTGTAGGCCTCCTGAAGCCAGGCATCTTATCTCCGTAACTGCCTGCACATAACAGGAGCTCTGTAAACCCTGACCTCACTACTATATATATACTATATATATATAATATATGTATATATTATATATATATAAATCACTACTACTCGTTGACCCCCGATCTTTTATGGACTTGTCTGTTTCTCTGACTGGGCCATACACTCCCCAAGGACAGTAACTGGATCTTGTTCTAAATAGCATAAGGGATCACATATACGCCAGGTACTGTGCTTTTTTATATTTGGTGAGTACCATCTAGTCGAATCTTTACAACCGTCTTGCAAGTATTACCATTATTATTCCCAACTTTTTTCAGAGGACGAAGCTGAAGTCTGAACTCTTAAGTACCTGCTCACAGTAAAACTGCTAAGTGGTAGAGAGAATATACGCCAGGCAGCCGGGGATCAAAGAGGTGGTGCCCCCTAGCAGGTGCTTACAAGATAACGAGGGACCGCAGGAAGGGTGGAAACCAGTCTGCTGACAGACAGACTGACTTAAAAGAAGAAACTGAGGCTGGGCCCTGGTCGAGCTGCTGAGTCAAGTAGTAATATGCACAGTTTATGTAAAAACTGATGACACTGTCTTGCTTTTAAAAACTTTGTCTCTAATACAGGACAAAAAGACTTCAGGGTGGTTTTATAAGGAACAAGTAAAGCACGACCTCCTTTCAGATAATCGCAAGCAAACATTTAAATCTTTGATATCTCTTTGTTGGGTAAGATTTTTAAAATTCAGGCTCAACTAGAATTTCCAAAGTACAAAGGCAATTGAAAGCTAAACAATGTCTTAAGGATGGAAGAGCTGTTCTCCAAGAGTAACCTAAAACGATCCATTTGCGTCTCCACGTGCCATACCCAGACATGTCAGATTCATCTTTGGCTTACCAGGACATTTTCACATGGCCCTAACTGCTCTCTGCAGTCCTTCAAGTCAGATCTCCCAGCCATGGACCGTCTCTGGCATTTGAGTGGCCGGTTTTAGCGGCAGCCTCACCCTGCAGCCAGTTTCTAGAAGTCCAGGTGAAATCTTTCACTCCTGTAGCATGCTGCCTGGATGCTAATGGCATCCCTTCGACAAGGCAGCCCCTCACAGGGGCTCCAGAGGACAGAGCAAGACAGTCCTTATTGCCTCACTGAAAGGAGCCGCTTCTTGAAATGGCTTCAATTGAATCAGTCCCACCCCCTCTGAGATGCCATTAAAACCACACGACATTACCCAGGGCTTCCGAGAGCCATGCCAAGGAGCTCCCTCCTATCATGAGGCAGAAAGCACTGCATCTCTAAAGCAGGGAGGAGACTCACTCCACATAAAATGGAACTCTAAGAACAAGAAAACCCCGGGCCTAGACATACCCATTATTAAATTTAGATATCAAGTCCAAGGCTCACACACAGACAGCTGTTATCTCCAGGGACGAGGTAAGGCAATCAACACGAATTCACAATCCACACCACACCCAGCTTACTGAGATTTCCCTTTGCCCAAAGTGCCACAGTCAGCAATGCCGCTAATGGGGACCTGGGGCAGATCAACTTCTAAGGCGCTCCTGACCCCTCCCTTCCTTTAAACAACATTCACCAAGTCCCTGCCTCTGCAGGAGTCCTGTGCCAGGCTGGGGCTGCCAAGTGAGTAAAATGGAGCCTCTTGCACTTCACAGCCTGCCTTCAATGAGGGAGCAGACGGAGCAAAAGACAAATGCACCCAGAATCCAACACACTGTGCAATGTGCTGGGATGGCGCCCTCTCAATAAAACCCATCTGAGAGTTGAGAAGAGACCCTTTCAACATAAATATCTGGAAGCGCAGTCCTTTCTCTCTGCACGGCATGAAATGATGTTCCTTATAGAACCATCCTGAAGCTCCCCACTCGGGAGTCAGCTGTCACAGTATCTTGTCCTGTCCCTCATATGATTAATTAAGCACCGTAGGTTTAAACTTAATTACACAAAGGTTGAAGATACAGCCAAGCTGGACTTCGCATTGAACACCAGGCATCTGCTAGAAAACACAGATCCACACTAAGAAAGTAGAAAGCAGGGTTTGAAACAGAGGTTAGGACTGTGAATGAGACGGAATGGAACAAACGCCCACAAAGGGCTTCACCACTGGAGGGGGGTCTCCCTGGATTTTCAATAGAAGTGAAGAGACCTCAGCTGCTGTTTAACCTTTCTTTTGTCCCTTTAAAAATGGCATTTGACCAGATGTATACCTTTTGTGCTCCGTTTCACAGCCTACAAACTTACCTATGGTTCCTTGTGAAACTCCTGTACCCATGGCCTTTGGGAAAAAAGTCTTCCTAAGGAGTAGGATCATGGAGATGGCTGTTTTTGTTCATTCTCTCACACATTCAATTCAACGAGATGAGTTCAATAAGCTGATCCATTAAAGAAAACCCACAGGGCAAAAATCGTCCTCATGAATGCTGTGCAACAAAGCCTTATAAAGCTGGACACCAGCTCAACTTACTAATTTAAAAAATCTGGGCTTCCTTGGTGGCGCAGTGGTTGAGAGTCCGCCTGCCGATGCAGGGGACGCGGGTTCGTGCCCCGGTCCGGGAAGATCCCACATGCCGTGGAGCGGTTGGGCCCGTGAGCCATGGCCGCTGAGCCTGCATGTCCGGAGCCTGTGCTCCGTAACGGAAGAGGCCACAACAGTGAGAGGCCCGCGTACCACAAAAAAAAAAAAAAAATCTAACCAAAGCAAAGTAGTTCCCCTAGCCCACTAAGAGTTCTAGAAATTTAGATTCCATGACATGTTATATAGTTAAATCAACTGTTTCCTGTTTCTCATATCAAACAGTTCATGAGACCTAGTCTGGTCCAGAATCCTGAAGTTAACCTTAAGTGGATCAACTACCTGTTTCCTTGGAAAAAAGACCCACACCCCATCACCTGCTCTCCTGTTTTACTGGAGGTCAATGATGAGGAATCACCAAAGATTTAAGTATCTTGACGGGCACTGTACAAATGTAAAAGATTATTGGACATAGATTCCAGATTCAACAAAGAAAAAAATACTACAATCTGTAATAAATACATTTTTTTCCATACAAATTGTGATCTCTATGTGGATTTTTCTTAAAGGATGAAGAGTATGTCAGACGTACTATTTACAATTTTATCCCATCCTATTTACTTCCTGTTAATTAAATCATTAACAGAAGCAGGAAGAGAGCAAAAGACTGCCTGCAAACAATGCCCCTTTATCAGGAGGGCCCAGGAATGGGTTGTCAGAATGGCTGACAGGACTATTAGGCATCTGGTTCAATTTGTGAGACAGAAACTTTGAGAAGGGCCTTTGCTTACAGCTTAAGGTGATTATATCTCATAGCTAAGTAGAACGGGTGAAAAAAGTTTTCGTTCATTACTGAACGTGTCCTTGTGTCTCATCTCTGCACAGGCTGGACCCAAATGCCATCCAAATTCCATTATGGACGCAGGAAGCCAAGGACGCCACTTGCCACAGCGTTGCTCCGTGCCAGCTGCAGCTGTCTGGGCTTCATTTTAATGAAGGCAGACAAAGGGGGCTCTCGGCCTTGAACATTCCTCTTGCAAGGCCCAGAGGGAAAAATGACATTAGTAAAACATTCCTCCTTTGTCCTTTTACCAAGGGTGAGCTTCTGTATTTTCCACCAAACACTGTCTCATTAATAATGCAATGACTTAAGATCTTTAACAAGCAAACAGATATAACACAGTATGGCTTAGAGGTACATGCTAAGAAAAAAAAAGTTTAACTACATCCTTGACAGCAAATGTTGAAAAACAAGTGGAATTTAGATAGAACTTGCTCTAGCAGCACAAAACAAACAAACACACACCCCAGTGAATAGAGACATAGAGGAGCAGTATTTCTCTACATGCTGCTACCTTGCCTTGGATATAGAAAAGTAAATTGTATTAATTGTAGGGCAATTCCAAAAAAATATTTATTGGGAACCTGCTACATACAAAGTGAGAAAAGGACAAAACTGAAGCTGAGTGTGGGGATTAGTAATAAAACTGTGAAGAACTGATTGGAGAGAAGAATCGTTAGGAGGCTTTGAGGGTGGTTCAAAAGATAAAGGATGTCTGGGTTGCCCTGGGAAGGAGGTAGTGGGATGGAAACATGTGGGAAGATGCAACAGCGTTTCATACAGGAAGAACCAGTCCAGGATGGATCTGTTCAGATCTAGAAGCATCAGAAATGACACCAAGTCTCCAGACTGGGTAACTTGAAATGGTGTCAAGGGTACCATTTACAGAAATGTGTGTGTCAGGGAAAGCAGACTGTACTGATGATGACTGGTTCCAGACAGGCTGCATTTCTGAAGGGGAAGTGAAGAGGAAAGGTTACGTGTGGGAGAAAAACTAAGAGCACACAGATAACAGCTTGAGAACATCTCAAAAAGGGGGTTAGCGTCAGAGAGCTGGGCAGCTAACAAAATTAAATGATATTAGAGGTAAAGAAAGCAGCGGAAGACTGGACTGCTGGGTGTGGTACCTAGGAAGCCACTGCTCATCTTCTGATGGAGCGCCCTCAACTGGGTGGCAGAGGAAGATGCCATACTGAAGACGGTCAAGGAGTAACTCAATATAGGGCGTCAGCTGCTCAAGCCAAAAACCCAAAGCATCACCGATTCCTCTCTTTCACTCACAGCCACCCCAACTCATCCTGTCCTTCAGTTGGTCCTGTTGTCTCCACCTCCACAATGTTAGGTTTCCATCTCCTCGCACAGACCACAGTCCATCCCAACATCAAGACTCCCCTGGACTGGGACTTCCCTGGTGGCGCGGTGGTTGAGAATCCACCTGCCAATGCAAGGGACACGGGTTCAAGCCCTGGTCCAGGAAGATCCCACATGCCACAGAGCAACTAAGCCCGTGCGCCACAACTACTGAGCCTGCGCTCTAGAGCCCCATGCTCTGCAACAAGACAAGCCACCACAATGAGAAGCCCACGCACCGCAACGAAGACCCAATGAAGCCAAAAATAAATTTAAAAATAAGTTTTTAAAAATCATTAAAAGACTCCCCTGGACAAATGCAACAGGACCCTAACTGCTCTCCCCATTGAAACTGCTGTGTCCACACCAGTCTTCCATGGAACTCCCCATTCCAGCCTACGAGGCTCTAAACCAGTGCTTCTCAAAATATCTGGGGTAGGGCTTCCCTGGTGGCGCAGTGGTTGAGAGTCCGCCTGCCGATGCAGGGGACACGGGTTCGTGCCCCGGTCCGGGAAGATCCCACATGCCGCAGAGCAACTAGGCCCGTGAGTCACAACTGCTAAGCCTGCGCGTCTGGAGCCCGTGCTCCGCAGCAGGAGAGGCCGTGATAGTGAGAGGCCTGCGCACCGCGATGAAGAGTGGCCCCCGCTCACCACAACTAGGGAAAGCCCTCACACAGAAACGAAGACCCAACACAGCCAAATAAATAAATAAATTTAAATAAATCAATAAATAAAATGCTCTGGGCTCCACCAGCCTCTCAACCACCCACTCTCTCCCTGGCTTATTCTGATCTAGCCAATTTCACTATGTTCAAGCCAAGTTTGATGGCCTCAAACTTGTTTCCCTAGGAGTTTGGCACTTGCTGTGCCCTCTGCCTGGAACGTTCTGGCCCTGCATTTTCCCATGGATGGATTCCTTCCAGGCACTCAGGGCTCAGTCCCAAATGTCACCTGGAGAAGTCTTCCTCTGCCATCTAATTTAGAGGACAGATCCCCATCCCAGCACTTCACACTCCGGAATACATTCCTGGCTTTACTGTTTCCACTGCACTTATTTATTTTTAAAATTGGATGAAGAAATGCTTTCCCACCATCCCAGTTCACTGTAGGCCATCTGCCCAGGCAGCCTGGCAAAAGTTCAGTGCCACCAAAGCCACCTCCTTGAGGGCAGGAGGCACACAGGCATAAGTTCTTCAGTGGCACAGAAGCCCCCAGAGGGCAGGGATCTGGTCTCTGCACTGTGCACTGCTACGTCCCAGCACTTAGAATAGCACCTGAAAGGATGCCGGTGCACAATAAAAATTCACTGAGTAAATAGGGAGAAATGAAAGCTGTTCTCTTGAGAAGTGCAGTCGTAAAGGGAAGGAGAGACTTAGGGGTGGGTTGGGGGCCCGCAGTTGTACGGCAGAGGGTGGGCAAGACAGAAAACAGGAGGAGAAAAATGAACTAACAAGAGGGGCACACACAGCAAGCACTTGGAATTCTTGCGGACAAGATCACTGAGGGGCCTCCTTGTAGAGGAAAGACTTGGCACTTGGCGTGAGCCCTGAGAAGTAAGACATTTGGTAATTCGAGGAGTTCTGAGAAGGGCATTCCAGGAAGTAGGAAAAACATAGGCAAAGGAACAAAAAAGGAAGTTTTAAATGGAAGATAGTTTGAGGGATGCAACATCTAGTCCGCATTTTATTATAAAATATTTCAAACCATATGATGCCTTAAATTGACCACAAACTTTTTCAAAGTCTATGAACTTAAAAAGTCACATTTTAGTAGTCTTTCACATTTAATAGCAGCTAGCTTCCTGGAGTTTCCCTTCCAGAGCCAGAACAAGGCCAAGTTGAACAGCAAGATGGGGGTGGAATAGTCTCCGAGATGGCAGCTTCTCAGTAAGAAGCTTAAAATTTGTTATTAGAAAGAATTTCAGATTCAGGAAGGTCAGGGTCTAGTCCCGTTTTGGCAGTAACTCACCTCCTGTGTGGCTTTAGGCAAATCACTTCACCTTTTTGAGTCTCATCCTACATCTGGGAGAAAACTGAGGGAGTTGGACTACAGACCTATAATTAGGGTCACAACATATTTTATCGTCTAAAGGCACTTTGGAAAGTCAAAGAGGGTGCTATTCTTAATTTTGCCAGAACGACAGACATAATAACACTGATCCCAAAGAAACCAAGATGTACAGTCATCTTACTTAACTGCTTCAGCTCGGAAGCACCATCCTTCTCTAGAAACACCCAAGGCTCCCTTCATGCTCTCTAGCTGGTCCTGTGCCTGGCACATCCCAGATGCTCACTAAGCGTTTGCCCCATTTCCTTTTGGTGAGCTTTTCTGCATTCTTTATGTAATCAAAGCTATTGATCTGTTCTTCCACAACTTCACTGCCTTATAATAGTTGAACCATCCTTGTGCCAAACAGCTGCACCCTTCCTTCGCAGATTTCACATTCCGTATAGCCCCAGGTGCCTCTACTAGGAACAGTTTCTCAAAGAAGGTAAATATTTAGGTACAAACCCTATTCTTTTTCAAACCAAAGAATAAGTAGCCAAAGAATGTAATCCACTGGTCTGAAATTCTGCAATTACTCAAGGCCTGGGTGGGGGTGAAAACCTTCTCAACTAGATTGCTAATGGACCATTTTAACCAAGTATAACATCAAAGAGAGAAAAGTTAAAAAAACATACTCACCTATATACATCTGGCAAATCTTAGAAGCAAAGAAAACATTCTACATAGGCCGGAACTCTGATTACTCAAAACCAGGTCACCCAGAGCTGGCCTGCACATTTCCAAATACAGCATGTTAACGACTCGCTAGACTTTTAAAAGCTGATTGGGTTTTTTTGGTTTTGTTGTGTTTTCTTTTAAGGAAAGTGCATCCTGGCTGTCATATATTTTCTTTCAGCACTAATGATACTTTATGCCTTGTAGGTTTAAAAGTATTTGTCCAGTTATTTACTTTAACTGTAATTGAGTTGGGGGGGGGGAAGGGAGTGAGGGAGTCACTCCTTCCGTACCGAAGGAGACAGCCGCCCCTCTGCCCCTTCTGGAATGTTCTCTTGCTATTAATGAAAGAACTACAAATATGAGTCATACCCACGGGTTTACGGGTGACATAACTAGATATTCTGAGAACATTTCTCACTGAGGAAATGAACATCCATTCAGTCTATGGCAAGATCAAAAGGCAAGAGGGTGGAACAAAGGCTACAGAACGTCCCAGGAAAGGATCTAGCCTTGGTGTAAAAACTGGACATGCCGGGTTTACGGCCTACTCTCTTGGAATAATCTCAGAAACCAGCAGTAGAGATTACATAAATTATGAAGGAGACAGTCAGGAAAAGCTCTGCTGATAAAGAGCAAACAATCCTTATAAACACAGAGAAAAGGAAAACGTAAAGCAAAACCAACAACACTTTCTCCCTGACTAAAAAAGACAAAATCAAATCTTCATTTCTGAGAATTCTTTATAATAAGCAGTAATCTCCAAAGTGTTTAAGACTTTTTCATCCTCAAAGTCCTTTAAGGTCCAAAGGTCAGACATACTAAATTCTCTCTTTTAAGAGAGGCTTCCCCAAACAGAAGAGGTCTAGGTCTGTCTTCACAGGCCAAGGGGTTTAATCATTTTTAGAGTCAAAGAAATGCCCTCCTCAGCCCTGGTCTTGGGTGTGTCCCCTGCTGGTCACCTGCACAGACCAGCAAGCACTGCACCCACCGGAGGTGCCCTCCCCAGAGGGGAAAACATAGAGGAGCATCCTTGGAATGCAGCAGGACTTTCCATCAGTTTCCTGGAAGAATTCTGGGACCTTAGGAAGAGGTATTTCTTTGTTTTATAAACAAACAGAGGATGCCGCTCCTTTTCTTATTCATTCCCTCTGTTAGCTCTTGAGCGCATTTGTAATACTCTCTTTCGGCTGTTTTTAAATCTCAAATAGCTTTCTATCACCCTGCCCTTCTTGGTTTTCTTCACCTTTGGAAAAGTTACTTCTAGTGCCAAAAACATGAAATGAGCATTTATCGTTTTCATGTGGATGGCTTTTTTCCTTCTTTTTCTTTTCTTGTATCTCTCTAACAATCCAGGGACCCTGTTAAAATACTCTTAAAAAGTGGAGATTATCTCTTTGGGTTGGCTTTCGCTAAGATTCTGTTACAGTCTTAGGGTTGTTATTCAAGAGCTACTGATCCATTTTAATCACACCATGTAGGAGCCAAGTGGGAGAGGGTGAAGGAACCCCAGAGGACCAAGAATTAGGGAACTTCTCCTTTCCCTCCACTGTTCCACCCTCTGACCCAACATAATACCTGCCTATGATGATTGTTCTAAGAGGAGGTTTCCAGTTTCCAAACAAATTGGTCAGCTATCTCTAAGTGGACAAAATCGCAATGTAACCAAACAGGACCCTACAGGGCCTTCCCAAGGTAGACATCACCCCGACCCCGCCAAAACCCTCTGTTTTTGCTCTCTCTGAAGTACCTAGGTAACAGTATCTGATGCACATTTCCTGAGTTGTTTTACAGATGCTAAAACCACCACCAAATGGAAGAACTTAACTACTTGATGATCATGAGCCCCCAGACCGACTGGCACCTAAGGATTCATAATGTCAACCACCCTCTTACCTCAACACCAACCCATCAGAGAATTATGCACGAGCTGATCACATACCCTGCGACCCCCTCCCTCACGTGGCCTTGCCTTCGGGGATTTTGGGATTTTTAGAGTGTGAGTCACCCATCCTCGTTGTATTGGTGCCTTTACAATAAACACTGCACTTTCCTTCACCACAAACTGGTGTCAGTAGATTGGCTGTACTGTGCACGGGCAAGCAGACCCAAGTCTGGTTCTGTAGCAGCATGGGTGGACTTGACAGTTAAGCCCCCTTCCCTTCATCCTGTGTGAGGATGGACTGCCTACTAACTGCTGGTGAAACTGCAGGCGCAAACAGGATGGCTTCTGCCTCTGCATAAACTCTGGATGGGAAAGAGGGATCAACACGTGAGGGAGCCGTTGATGGAAGCTGCCCACCTTGGCTAGGCACAACGCTAACCACTTGCATGAGTGGTCTCACAACAGGAGGTGCCGATAAGGACACGGTGCTGCCGTGGAAAACTAACCAGGAGAATTTT